ATTTAACCATAATGTTGGACGATGATATGTTGGGTGGACCTGGCGAGGTGGTCCAAATCGAAGAATCGTCGTTATGTATTTTTATATGCAATGACTGCTGGTGCCTTTTGTATTTCTTGTCACCCGAGCCGCTGGTGCACTTTCCACTGTTTAGACACATACTGTTCAAAATTTCATCTAGTTTTCAGTAAATATTGGGACAACTTTTCATAAAACAAGCCATTTACAATAAATTAACACTTTTATTTTGCAAATAACCTCATTTCTAATGCCGTATTTCTTCCAAAAAAGTACAACTTGGCAACAATGGACATCATTTATCTTATCTGTCAAGAAATGAGCATTATAAAGCCATTCAGAATTGTTTGTACTTTCAAATATTTCTTATAAATGTAAAAAGTTTGATCTCATTGAAAATACGCGAAAAAAATAGTTAAGGAATTTCAAGAAGACATTGAAAAATCACAAAACAACACCTCTACATAGTTTACCAAGTAAATACCATCATTTACGTGTGTATTTTATATATTATTTAAGCTAATAAGCTAATATGTAATATCACGTCTGGTTTTTGGCCTTTTTTTGCAAAAAAACAGCGATTTTTTACAGTTTCACATCTATTTTCCTTAATACTAGACAGTGTATGTTATATTCTTAATTTAGAGCATCCTTCCGTACAAAAAGCAAAAAAAGACAGCATATATAACAGTATTCTATTCTGGAGTATTACCACCAAAAATGCAACTTCGGAGTTCTATAAAATAGCAAGCAGAGGGTTCCTTGAAGAAAAAATGATATTTTCGTAAAACTTACATCCTAATCTTTCATTTTAAAGTAAGAAATGAAGTATTTGCGATATGCGCTAAAGCATAGTCTTACCAAAATATGTAACATCGGAAACAAATTCGAATAGATTAAAAGGGACCAAGTCTATGTGTTTATGTCGCCCAAATCGTCTAGTTTGTTTATGAGTATAATCTTTTGGTTTGTTTGCTTACCTAACCAATACATTGCTGTACAAGTAGCTAGTCATGATGTTGGGCATATGTTATTATATCATTGTTACTACAGTATTTATCAAATAAGAAGATTTGGAACTATTTGAATAGATTTGACGTTCACAGTTTTTTTTTGTGGGTGCACTGAGCTTCTTCCATGGAACTGAGATCGTAAAATTACTACTTATAACCTGAAAGTGCCTATTTGAAGAACTTTTAGATTCAAATTTAAAGTAAAATATTAGTTTAGTTTAATTTAGGTTAGTTATATTAAAGTTCCAGTTGGCCGTTTTCAGTATCATTCAAATAATTGGATTTGTCTCCAATACTTTGCATTTTTCAATGTTGCTAAGAAACCTTGAATTGGAGCTGGGTGCTCAGTGAAATGAAGTAAGTCAAATGAAATAAATCAATAAATCAAAATTACGTCACAACTATGGTCCATGTAATTTCAGACCCATTTCTATAATACCAATTATCGCAAAGAATTATCGAAATACTTCTGAAGAATCAGATATATGAATACTTCGAAGGTAACAATTTATTCTGTAACAACCAGTTTGAATACCGTACCAACAGATCAACGAAAGCAGCAATAATCGATTTTATCAGTTTCATCAACAAATGTCTGGAAGATAACATGTTTGCTCTCGCTAACTTCTATGATCTCACAAAAGCATTTGATTGTGTCCAACATCACATTTTGATTCAAAAGTTGTCGCTATATGGTTTTAGTAATAACAACCTGTCCTTAATTGCGTCTTATTTATCAGACAGAAGACAGTATGTTAGTTTTCAAAATTGTTTATCTAACAATGTAGATATTAAGCACGGAGCTCCTCAAGGAAGTGTCTTGGGACTAATTCGTTTTTTGATTTACATCAGTGATCTGCCAAACTGTAGCATCAGTCAATATATATTATTTGCGGATGACACGACATCAATATCCTCCAATAGTAACTTTGACCGTGTATTACTCGATTCTCCGCAGCATTTTGACAACATTACAACATTCAAAACTGGTTCAATCAATCAATCAATAACCTTTATTTCCATACAGACAATATATAATTGTATTGGAATTGTCAATTTTTCGTTCGCTACGAACCTACAACTAATCTCAAATTGCTATGTTCAAAAATTCATCAACACGATAAAAGCACTTGTTTATCAAAAATTCCTTCAACAGGAACTTAAAGGCGTTAATATTTTTAACCGAGGTAATGTGGCATGGTAAATTATTAAAAAGAAGCGGACCTATTTTATTAGGTGATCGAAATGCCGCTTTTGATTTGCTAAAGTTTACATATAAATTATTACAAGTCCTTGTATCATAATTATGCATATCACAATTTCGCTTGAATTTTTCATTATTTTTAAAAACATGTAAGCACAATTCATATATATACAACGAAGGGACAGTTAAAATGTTGAAAGTTATAAAATATTTTTTGCAACTTGAGTTGCCTGCTAATGATCGGATGCATCTTTTTTGAGACACAAATACATCTTCAGAGCGCGTTGACCAACCCCAGAAACATACTCCATATCTTAATCTCGAATCCACATTAGCAAAATAAACTTGTATCAATTGTTCAGCTGTTAAGATGGTTTTTAATTGCCTCAACACATAGCTTTGAGAGTACATTTTTGATGTGAGAAATTCGCAGTGGGCCTTCCAATTTAAGTTCGAATCAAAATGAACTCCAAGAAATTTCACTTCTCCTCTAAAATCGAGTTGATCGTCACCCAATCTAACTTGAAACCCTTCTACAGTTTTTTGAGCGTGATGAAAACGAATAAGCGTTGTTTTGGAAGGATTCAAGTAAAGTGAGTACTGGTTTAATGCCAATAGTTTGTCAATCAACATAGCGAAAACCCAATCTCTTCTACTCTGTACTCGTCCACATAGAAGTAATTTCTTTGAGTGATTATTCATGCACTGTTAACTTGGGAATCACACATCACCTCTTTATCAAAGAAGTTATCTAAAATAACACATATGATACGTAGTTTAAATACCTACGTAACAAAATCGACTTTAATGACAGCCTATTATGCTTACTTCCAATTTAACTTGCAATACTGCATACTGATTTGAGATCGTTCATGTTATGTATTGAAGGTGTTTGCCGTTCAGAGACGATGCTTGAGAATAATAGCAAACTTACATTTCAGACAGTCTTGCAAGGCGACATTTCTTATTGTTTGTTGTTTTTGCTTACTCTTTTATGTTCTACTCTAACTGACCTGTGCAAACACATTTTTATGTAATAGTACCAATAAATTATTATTATTATTATTATTATTATCATCCCAGTAACAGCACAATTTTGAGGTACATGCCCTTTCACAGCACAGATGACTATAATATAACGCTTATCGACAAAAAGGTTTAGTCTTATTCAGTTTAAACTGCTTTTTGCCGTCCAAAAAAAGCCTGCACAATTTTCGCCAACTATCTGGAACACTAGGATTGCATGGAACTTACGCACTTTTATATGGTTTGGCTGAAAGGTACGAATTTAATGTGAAATGTCAATAACTGACGAACTGTCGGCTTAAGCCTGATCGACTTGAAAAATGAACTTGCATCCTGACTACTTACTTACTTACTTCTTAATTTTGGCTACAAACAAATCGTAAACTTGCTGCTTCTGCCTAGTCCGAATTCGTTGTTTGATACTAGCACAAATACCGTCATTCTGGCTATATCATGAAACTTACAGCTTAGGCCATAGAAGCTAAGTTACATTAAGTCACAAACAGCACACTGACAGCAAACGACAGTGCCATTGCTTCTTTCATTTAGTATTAACTTCTTAGCTTGACTTTATATACTAGCAACTAGCTGGCAAGAAATTAAAAATTATCCGATCCTGATATTCTAACAGGAATCGACCATCATTAAGAAAGTTCGATACGGAATGGGAAAATTCAGCTTGCTTCAGCATTTCCCGCAATGTCAGTATTTACGAAGGAAAAAAAATTATTGAGGTTTTTAAACGGCTCTTGGTGATTAAGCACTTTATTTTAATTAGAAAACTTTCCGCCTTCTTTCTCGGCGATTTCCGTAAATTCTCACGTTCATTAATTTAACGGGACTTTTTTCAGGTTAAATATCTCGACTGAAGTTAATTTTACGTTTCTTTCCGGGCACTGTGAAAGGAAACCTGAAAGACGACTGTTGTTTCTGCTTATCATTATCTTATCTCTTAAATCACTAATCAACAAGAAACAAACACGGCTGGAACTTTGAAAATTGGATAGAGGTCCGGAATGGGTGAAAAGCTAGTATAGTTTGGTAATTAAATGGACATAATGAAATGGTAGGTAGTCTGGACAGAGAACTTTTCGTCTCAGAAAACAGAAAAAATCTAAATTTTGTTTGTATGGGTATTATTTAAACACGTCAAATCTTTAATGTCACATATCTCACTATCGAGCTTATTTTGTTGAAATTTTGCAAGACAACAAAGTTACATAGGGGTACCTAGTCGAACCGTTAAAAATCCAGGGCCGGACTCAATTTTTCATCTTTTTTACCGCAACATACACCTCCTAAAACAAATGGAAAGTGTTAATCAATTAGTAAAATGGATTGATTGGTTTTTGGTCAACTTTTATTTATTTATCCAAGTATATCATTTTCAGCAGTTTATGTGACATGAAACTCACAACTCCAACGGTTTTTAACATGATTCCATCAACATTTTACAAAATAATGCTCAAAATTTACAGTGTAACTGTACAGTGAAAATTAATTTCATGCGCTCTATTTAGTTGCATCAATATTTTTTCAATGATTTAATTCTAGCAACTGATGACATACAACATAAGACCTGCTTTAAAGGAGATGGCATTCAATATGCAAATGCCCTGAATTTGCCTCTTCATACCAATACAAGATAATGATAAAAAAGTATAAATAACTCATACGAGGGATGTCTCTTAAGTTTTACATATGGAAATAAAACAACACGGTAGGTAGTTTTAAATGACTTTATTGTTTTTCGAAGTATTCTCCACGAAGATTAATACACATCTGCATGCGCTCGAACCAATTTTCGAAGCACTTATTCCACTCGTTTCCTGGCAGATCCAAAACGGCATTTTTGAATGCGTCAACTACTTCTTCTGGTGACTGGAACCTTTGACCACGCAGTCTGTATTTAATTTTCGGTAAAGTAAAGAAATCATTAGGACTTAGATCGAGACTATATGGAGGATAGTCCAATAATTCCACGTTTTCTTCCGTTAAATACTGCCTTGTTTTTTGGGCTGTGTGCGAGCTTGCATTGTCTTGGTGGAGGATGATTCTTCTTTCGGGGTTGATTTTTCAAAGCTCGGTGATGATTTTTGGCCAACAAATGGTGGTATACCAATCCACAGTAACAGTTCTTTGCTCGTTAAGAGGAATTGTTGCAATATGACAGGCTTTTGACACAAATGTCGCGTCCATCTTTTTCGAAACACTTCGAGAACGGATGACTTTTGTTGGCTTTTCTTAACCTTGGAACACCCAAACAGCCGACTGTCGTTTATTTTCTGGTTCATAACAGTAAATCTACGATTCATCACCACTGACAACGCTGTACACATTTTTTGAGTTTCCTGGAATTGAAACGGTCAAGCGTTTTTTGACACCAATTAATAGTACTCATTGTCAATCCTATTTTATTTAACAAAGCTCCATGATAACTTTTGTCGATGGCCTATAAAGAATATGTGTAAATAACATCGGCCTGACAGTTATAATTCAGTGCTCCGGATATTTACTAAGTTAAAATAACCAAATTTGTAACAGTGAATCAACTATTATGTGATATTTGTTTTTTATTGAAAGGTGCAAGCGATTATACAGGATTATTTCAAATACCTTCACTTATGAAAAGAGGGCACACTTTGGATGACTTCCGGATCGCACGAAATATGTTAGATTTTGTGCTCCAGCTGCATCTCATAGAACAGGGTAATAAGTAAACTCAACTCGTATTTCAACGGGCATCTTCCTGAAGCATGTACAGTTCCAAACCGACATGGTCCAAACTCTTTTTACTATGAATTCGTTACAATAGGGGAAATTGAGCAAATTTGTATGGCATTCCCGAATCGAGATTCGTGTGGGTTCGATCAGATATCTGTTAGACATATTAAGAAACGTATTCCCTATATTTCTTCATTTTTAAGTGATTTGGTTAACAATGCCGTTTGTATCTTGTATCTTCTCTAAAATTATTGAAAAAATTGTGTATGACCGAATATACAGGGTGTCCGCAAAGTTGGGGTTTTCCTTCACACGACGTGTAGATCTTGAAAACATAAGCAATTTTTCTTAGTACCAATGTCTTAAGGGAAACGAGATAAAGGGCTCTGCAACATCAAAAATATCTGAATACCGTCCTGTAGCCGCGACATCCCCCAGTGGTACTAGTACACTAGCTCAACCCGACGACAGAACTGGGTCGGGGTCAGTGTGTCAGGTCAGTATGCAACCTTCAACTGACGGTTACGGACACGCGTGTAGAGATAATCGCGTAGACGAGAATCCCTAAAACAAGCACTAGAGACGTGGCTAGAGAAGTGCAAGTATCAAAAACTAAAGTGTGGCAAACGCTGCGTGAAGAGGGGCTATATCCGTTTCCAATGTGTACAAGCGCTTCAACCTGACGATTTTCCAGCAAGGGTGCGGTTTTGTGAGTGGTTGTTGCATCAACATGACAATAATCCGAAGTGCATATTGGTGACGAATCTACGTTCACGTGTAATGGGGTGAATGACTTTCGCAACACTCATGTTTGGTCAGTAGAAAATCCGCACGCTGTCCGTCAGGCACATTTTCAACAAAAATTTTCGGTGAATGTTTGGACTGGCATGGTGAACGGTATGCTCATTGGACCATTTATTCTCCCAAATCGATTGGACGGGATGCAATACCTAGACTTTTTACGCAACATTTTGCCTTCCTTGTTTGCCTGCGTCTGCTCGGTAGCGCATCAGCTGATTTCATTTCTTGTTGGAGCGGTATGATTTCGGGCAGAGACGTACTTAGCCCTTCTCGTCAACTGGAGAGTGAGTACTTTTTCCTTTATTTTTTTTACTTGGTCGCCCTCGTTTCACTACACATTACCTTTGTTATTTCAAGGGTAGTTGTTTCTGAAAAGGAAAACCCCAACTTTGCGGACACCCTGTATATATATATATATATATGTATCATCAAGTATAACATTCTTAGTAACAGACAGCATAGATTTCGCAAATGTATGTCTACAGAGTCGGGCTGCATTGACCCAATTCAATACATATCCGATAGACTGGACAGAGCAGAATTTGTGCTCACTATATCATTTGAATTGACACGTGCGTTTGATACAGTTGACAAAATCTTTGTTAAGAATAAAATGGAAAATATGGGACTGAGGGGTAGTATTAATTTTTTTATTTTTTCTTACTTATCAGGTCGTAGGTTTGCTGTTAAAATTGGTGAATCAGTGTCCGATTATTATAATCAAGATATCGGTACCCCACAGGGTAGTGTTCTTGGACCCCGCTCTTTCTGCTTTTCATAAATGATTTACCAGGCCACATCATTGAAGGCGAAGCATTTTTATATGCGGATGATAGTACTGCAGTAGTTTCTGCTGTATCTGAAACAGAATTGCAACTGAAAGTGAATACAGTGCTCCAAGAGTTTGCTGACTGGAGGAATCTAAACAATCTAATGATTAATTACGATAAAACTGTAGCTATGAAGATCAGATCTGTGAAGAAGCAATCCTGTAATGTTAACTTGTTCCTTAATGGCCACAACATCGAGCTCTCTCTGTCTACAATTTTTTTGTGCTAAGGGCCGTATCGTCAGTCGTTCCTATAATTGTAGGACGCCTTTATGGCCTCCTTGATTTTCATAGTTTTCTACTATTTTGAGGTTATGTCACAAGTTTGTATTTCTTCAAATTGTTCGTGCTTTTGATTTATATCATGTTTTAACAGCCTGAAATTTCCTAAAATTCAAAAAGAAAACATAAGTTCACAATAGGAGAGTGTTGACTCTGACACGGAACAGGTGCAATCTAGAAATTTTTTAACCCGTAGCCACAGACGTGGAGTCAATTTGACTCCTTGCTAGTATGTGAAGGGGATTTCCAGTTTTCTCCTCAGTCTATCTGTCCAGGCCTAGAGGTACCTTTTCATCGAGTAGTATTGAACTAGCACTGAGACAATTGCGTTGATTGTGTACGTTATTTACATTTCATTACGACTTGAATTTCCGACGGAGTCAAAAGGACTACAGGTCTGTGATAATGTTATATTCTAATTTCTGTATTTCATGAACATGCTCGGCTTAGTTTAGGTTTTTAGGATGGATTTTGATAGCAAAGCTGGTCCCTCAAAAATAGTTAGATATGGCGATTCGGACTACGAAGAAACTTTGCTGAAATGGGCTGCTGAGGTGGATGAGGAAAATGAAAACGGCAGTGGTATTGATTCAGATGCTGAATTCATTTACAGTGATAATGAGAGCGTCCGGAACTGAAGAAGATGAAACATCGAACCGCGTTTCTACAAGAAACTATTTCTATGGAAAAAAACCATTTCAAATGGTTTGCGTGAACTGTGCAAAATGAAAAAATTACTTTGGAAAACCTACTGCACGTTTCCAGAATATTACATTCACGTTAATTTCTAATCGTTATAAGTATTCTTTTTCATGTTTTTAACGAGTTTTGTATGAAAACTACCTAGCAAGTTCATTTTTTTATGTTAGAAAGTTACCAAAAATGTTATTGTAAATATTCACGAAAATTGTGTGCAATAAATACATTTCTTTAAAATCTGGTTGCTTTTTACTGAGGATTTTTTTTTATTAAAAACGATATTAAAAGAGACACTATTTAAGTGATATAACATAGAGGTAAACTTGTTTTTATTTTCCAAATATGTTTTCCATGGCCTTCATTATAGGAGTCATTTTGACGCCACGTCTGTGGTAATGTTCAATTTATTGGCCGTCTGTGGTTACGGGTTAAGGTGAAAGACTATTACAATCAAGGAGGCCATAAAGGCGTCCTACAATTGTAGGAACGACTGACGATACGGCCCTTAGTGGTGGATTGGCCCCTAAACTGGGAAACCCATATCCACAATAGTCTCAAAAATTGTGTAAGTCGTGAAACCTTAATTAGTGTCTATGTGTTTATATACTCGGTCCTGTCATATAATATTGTTGTCTGGGGACAGGCCTCAACTATCGACAGAGTCATCGTTCATAGCGTCCTGTAGAGCCTGTTGTAAGAAATATCAACTCTTGACCGTCTCCTCAATTTATCTTCTAAAACCACTACTCATACAAATAAATGCTCTTTCTAAAAAAACTCATATTTTTATGATTATAACACGAGGAATAAGAACCGATTTTGCTTAGATAAGCATAACTTAACTACTCACGAAAAGTCGCCTAGATATGCTGGTACCCGAATATACAATAATTTACCAGAATTTCTTAAATAAATAGATAATGTTATGCTCTTCAAAAGGCACCTTAAGAGGATGCTAAAATCTAACACCTTCTACAGCATAGATGAGTTCCTTGCGTTTTTGAAGGACCTGAAATAATTCAATTGACAGGAGTTCCATTAACATGCACTTTTTAAATTTTATGTTTTCAGTTTTTCTGTTGTTATTTTAGTTTGATTTTTATTTCACCTTTACTTTTTAGAAGTATTATATTATGTGATACTTATGACGTGTTCCTCTCTATACTTATACATAGTGTTCGGAACTAGTAAAGGAATTTGAATATGCGGAACAAATGACGATATACTCATTTTGCGTTGTGAATCATAAACGACCCATGTTGTCCTCCTAGTCCATCCGACTGTTAATTTTCGCTAATATATATCGAAGCCGTCATAGAGGCACAAACAATGTCGTCAATGCGGCTCGTCAATTACGCGCAATTACGGCGAGCGTGCGACGCTTTTGCAACACACCGGTGCCGGCGATCTGCGTCGCTATTGGCTGACGACAATTAAAACGACGAATGCAATTAACAGCATAAACTCGAATTTGATAACACGCCGCACCGATGGTCGGCCGACAAACGGACGTTCCACGCACCGCGTCAGGGTTGGATCAGAATGAAACATTTACGATTTACAATTGAGGAGCTTTGGAACAAGACCAAATAAATCCACATTTTATGCAAATTGAGCTTGCCGCGAATATATACTCACTTTATTAATATACATAATATAAGCTACACAGTACCGAGCAAAAACGACTGAAACTTCGTAAATTTCAGTGAAAAAATCCTTGTTTTCGTGCAAAACCAAATGAATACGAGTTTACTTCAAAAGCGAATATATCCATATAATATGGGGTTGAGTAGTAAACTGTTTATATTTAGGCTACTACGAGCCCCTTCCCACTTCCGTTGGCCCAACTATTGAAATCTTAGTTTTTTCTTATCAAACACAAATAATAAAAATGTAGCAGGGTGTTATAGGTTTAAAATATTACCAATGAATATTTTGATAATATATAGTAGAAAACACCAACTGTATCACTTCCTAATCAAATTTGCAGCATAAAAATAACACATGTTGCAATTACGGCATATCAACCTATTTTTATTTCACTGCAAAATAAGTCTATAACGCATAGGTGGCTGTGAAAAATAAAAGCCATGACAATTGTTTTTATTAATCACAGCTGTCAGAATACATTTAAAATAGGTTTGGGTAGTTGAGGTTTTCAAAATGCGTAGAGGAAAGGTTATTAGTGAGGAAAGTCGGTTACTGATAATTAAATTTTTTAATTCTGGGAAATCCAACTCAGAAATTGCAACTTTATTAGACTTATCGCGGTACAGTGTGAGAAATATTGTTAGAAGATATAACGTAACTGGTTCAGTTAATATTAAGCCACGATATGTGAAAAAAAGTAATATCACAAATGATGACCGAAGAGCATTAAGAAGAACAATCGTGAAAAGCAGGCGTGCCAGTTATTTACAATTAAGTGCTCTGTGGAGTGACGCTGTCGGAAGGAGAATTTCGAGGTCCACAACTCATAGAGAGGCCCACAAACTGGGATTTAGCACTTGCAATTTAAGTTTTCTTATAAAAAAAAAGTGAAGTAAAAACCCTAAAGTTGCACAACTTGTTTATAGGCCAAAGAAAAGCCACTATTGGCTCCACTGCAAAATAAAAATCGGCTTAGATGGGCTAAAGAACATAGACAATGGACACCTCAACAATGGTGTGCAATACATTGGAGTGATGAGGCCCGATTCGAAATTTGTGTTGGTGACAGTCGCAGTAGAGTTATTCGCAAAAAAAATTAAGTATTCCATGTTGACTGTCTGAAGAGAAAAGTGAAATTTCCAGCATCCATGATAGTCTGGGGCAGTATGTCATCAACAGGAGTAGGAAAACTTCATTTTATTGATGGAAATATGGATACACACAAATATTGGGCAATTTTAGAAGAATCGCTTTTACCAGTGATGGAAAAATGTTTGACATCCGCCCAAGATTTTGTGTTTCAGCAAGATGGTGCAGCGTGCCATACCTCAAAAAAGGCTATAAAATGGATGGAAGAAAATAATGTACCACTTTTGAAATGGGTTTCTAGCAGTCCAGATCTGTCACCTATTGAAACTTTGTGGCACGACATGAAAAAGGTTCTACGACAACATCCTGCTCGTACAATCACCGAACTGAGACAAAAGCATCAAGAAATATGGGATTGTTTTACACCAAATTTTTGCCAAAACTTGGTTAACACTATGCCTCAAAGAACTTCAGCCGTAATAAAAAATAAAGGTGATGTTACCCAATAGTAATCTTTCAATTGTTGTTTTGTTAACTTGGCGCATTTATTCGCACATCGTTTATTTTTTACGACTAGAGTGTATCTAAAATGTTTTTGAGAAAATAAATTGTTTTAGAAGTAAATAGTTTCGTCATGTTTAGTTTATAAAGGCATATTTTGGCACAAATCTTGAAGTGGGACAACGGGGCTCGTAGTTGTTAGATGGCAATAGTAGGAGAATTCAAATAAGAAGAAGAGCAGGTAAAAAAATTACTTATATGACAGAATATCCAGTTCATAAAAAGAGTGCCACGGCTTTTTACGACTTCTCCAAGATGATCCAGAAAATTCCTTGACGTTTTGTTTCAACCTGCAACAGGTAGCCTTTACCACTTACTCCTATTTCTGATGCATTTTATTCGCAACAAATAAGTCTCTACTATTTCTGCTGTATTGCCATGAACTCAACAAATCCTACTTTTTATATTTGGACGGAAGACCAGGCTGCTAGAGGCGCCACAGAGATTGGATCTGATCTGTTTGATTATTTAAAGTAATTGGGCTTGACTGGCATTTAGCTAGGCCAGTCAATTAGACTGTGATGGATGTGGGGGACAAAATAAAAACTCCCACATTATCCATATGCTATTTTTTGGCTCCTAAGGTTTTTTTACTGATAATGTTACCGGAGTTAACATCACTTACTCTGTGAGGGGTCATAGTTTCATGCCCGCGAAAAAATGTTAAGCAAAAATCAGTTTGTCTAAAGAGGATTATGTCAGTTATTATGTACAATGGCAATGTAATAAAACGCATCTCTATACAAAAAAAGGCATACAGAACAGGGAAAATTAAAATATTATTCGCATGCACTACCTATTTGAAGCCCAATCGGAAGTTTATAAACGTTTATAAAAGAGGAAAAGGCTCGAGGGAGTTTTCGCTATCAGGGGTTCAGTTGCAAGATAACATCCCACAAAAGAAGAGACAAAGTGTAAAACATCTAATGGGAAGACAATTCGGTAAAAAGTGGGATAGTGTCAAAAATTTGGAATGGTATAGAAAACTTTTATGTGAAAATCAAAATAATGACTAAGAAGACATGAATGATGTGTGGTTACAATGTAGTTTGCACTTTAAAAAATACACTATTATTTACTTAATACTTTTTAAAAACTCATTATTTTATGTTTGTAAATTTACTTTTTTTAAGTTATAAAATGGTTAATGCTTATTTTTATGTTTTTCTAGCTACTCAAAGCTTTTAAACAATAATAACATTATTGTTATTAATGTTTGCAAATAAAGTTTTCAGCAAAACCAAATAAATCCATAACATTTAAGCAAAACCGAATAAATCCATTTTTGCTTTTATCGTAATATTGGAAAACATAATATTTCAAAATTTTTATTGCAGAGGAAGCTTAACTATGCTGGTCCCAAAAGTATTTGGTAGAAAAACAATTGATCATCCAATTACTTTTTGGGCTGTAGAAAAATCGTCTTTTTCTAAAAATTGCTTATGGTGGATTTATTCGGTTTTGCTCCAAGGCTCCCCAATCTACAACAAAACTTACAACAGTTGCAGATGTACTTTGAGGTGTCATGCAAAAAATAATATCTATTAGGTATCTAGAAGTATACTAAGTGACATATAAATCCGAACACCCAGTTTAAATGGTTTTATTTTAATAAAATTTTGTATAAGTACTTAATGAAGCATAATAAGTAAATGATAAAAATTTCAAAATGAT